AGCTGAAGGCAACCGCTTAACCAACTGAGCCACCCAGGCGCCCCAACTGATTAGTCACCTTAATTACATCTACCAAATTCCTTTTGCCTGGTAAATACATAATCATGGGGCCATCTTAGAATTCTGCCTGCTACACTTACCTTATGTAGACACCCACATCCACTGTTCTCCAGGTTCAGTTTTTAGGTTGGGTGACATGACAAAGCATTTGGAGCATTAAATGTGAATCACCATGGTCAATTATATTTAGATGAAATTACTTTTTTTTTTTTAAGATTTTTTATTTATTCATCTGAGACACAGAGATACAGAGAGAGGAGAGAGCCTGAGCAGGGAGAGAGGCAAAGGGAGAAGGAGAAGCAGGCTCCTCGCTGAGCCAGGAGCCCGACGTGAGGCTCGATCCCACGACCCTGGGATCATGACCTGAGCCGAAGGCAGACGCTTAACCATCTGAGCCACCCAGGTGCCCTAGATGAAATTACTTTAACATTGTTTTTTTTTTTTTTTTTAATTTTATTTATTTATTTGAGACAGAGAGAATGAGAGAGACAGAGAGCACATGAGATGGGGGAAGGGTCAGAGGGAGAAGCAGGCTCCCTGCTGAGCAGGGAGCCCGATGCGGGACTCGATCCCGGGACTCCGGGATCATGACCTGAGCCGAAGGCAGTCGCCCAACCAACTGAGCCACCCAGGCGCCCCTAGATGAAATTACTTTTATTGTGAATGTCATGCAAAGGATTTGTAGTACTGAAAAATACATTTACTTTCTAAATAAGTGTATGTGGTGCATTAGAAAGAAGTACATTAAAAGCCATAAAGACCTATTATAAACATGCAGCATGTTGCTTACAATTCTCGATCCCATCCGATGACGATGAGTAGCTTTATCTCCTCCGTGTCTGCCACTAATCATGATCTTGGTCATACAGTAATGACACAGACTCGTAGGCTTTATAGCTAAAAGGCAGCAGAGAGCGTCTGTGACCACCACCCCTAACCCCCCCACTCCCTGCCTTTTTCATACATGAGGAGCCAGAGACTCAGGATTGGACTCAGAGAGGACCACAGAGTCAGCTGGTCAGTGGTAGAGATTGGCCTGGAATATCTGTTTTCTGATTCCCTACCTGGTAATAACAGTAATGACAGTACCATTAATTAAAGATTTTCTATGTACAAGGCACTATCCTAAGTACCTTAAATATATTATTTTTCTGGGGCCCCTGGGTGGCTCAGTCATTAAGCGTCTGCCTTCGGCTCAGGTCATGATCCCAGGGTCCTGGGATCGAGTCCCACATCGGGCTCCCTGCTCTGCGGGGAAGCCTGCTTCTCCCTCTCCCACTCCCCCTGCTTGTGTTCCCTCTCTCGCTATGTCTCTCTCTGTCAAATAAATAAAATCTTTAAAAATATATATATATATTATTTTTCTTATCCTCACAAAACTCCTATGAGGTAGGCATTACTGTCTTTGCCATTCCACAGTTTGAGAAAACTGAGTCACAGAGGGGCTAAGTAGCTGGTTCAGTGTCACCCAGCTTGCTTATGGTTAAGTGGGGATTCAAAGAGAAACAGTCTGACACCAGGGCCGGAGCCCTTCCCTGTGCTCTGCTCTTTCCCAGGCCCGCCACTGCTCATGGGGCCTGCATGTGCAGTTACAGAGCTCACCACACGGGCTACCCGTTGGCTGTATTCTGACACCAAGTCAGCGAATAGCGGAGAATCTGGAGTCGGGGAACTGAGTATAAACTTCAGTGGTGTCACTCACTGTGTAAGCTGCCAGGGCCCGTGGACTCTGTGTCTGTAAAATGGGGACTGTTGGAGTTCTGAAGAGAATACAGGTAGAAAGCGGTCTGTAAACACAAGGATGACACGTCCATTGTATTGTTATTCTTTGACAAATGGTAGCTGGTTCTCATCACCCTGTATTAACAGGTTTTCACATCACTCTTGCTGCGGCGGAGTCAGATGTGAAATGAGAAGGTTCTGTGTCCTGACAACTTAGGAATCTCGTTTCCTTTGAAAGTCCTACATCTCCTGTATATATCCTCATTCCACATTTTCCAGCTCCCCGCAGTGGTACGGCTCACTTGGAGGTGATTTTCCACACGGGCATTCTTCATGGGAAGAGAACAGTACAGCCCCATAGACAGGCCAGGACCTAGCCCTTGGCCGGGCTCCTGCACGACAGCCCAGCACCTTCCATGATTCCGGTGCACACCTGCACAGAACTGTATGACCTTTGGACGTGGCCATTTGGAGATCACCATCAAATAATCATGAATATTAAATTTCTGTGTACCAGTGGTCTCTTCTTCATCCCCATTCTTTTTCTAAAAACATTTTCTCTTTTTTGGGTGCGTGTGTATTTTCTGCTCTACTATTTGAAAGTAAGTTGCAGACAACGTAACACTTCAGGTCTAAGTACTTCAGCATGTATCTCTAATGATAAGGACATTTTTTATAGTACATGTCATTATCTACCTAGGAAAATTAACAATGTTCTTATCCTAATATCCAGCCCATGTTCAGATTTTCCTTATTTGTCCTAAAATTGCTTTTAGAGTGTTTTGCTTTTAGGGTTTCTTGTTCTATTTTGTTTTTTTCCCAAAAAGAAAGCCAACTCATAGCATTTAATGGTTACATCTCTGTGATATTTTAAAATCTGAACCAATTCCCCTACCTTGTTAGTTTATTTGTTTGTTTTCATGATATTAACTTTTTAAAGATTTTATTTATTTATTTATTTGAGAGAGAGAGAGAGAGAAACAGCACGAGAGGGGAGAGGGTCAAGGGAGAAGCAGGCTCCCTGCTGAGCCGGGAGCCCGATGTGGGACTCGATCCCAGGACTCCGGGACCATGACCTGAGCCGAAGGCAGTCGCCTAACCAACTGAGCCACCCAGGCGCCCGATATTAACTTTTTAAAGAGACTAAGTCAGTTCTCCTGAACAAAACCCCATGTTCTGGATTTGTCTGATTTTTTTTTTTTATTGTGTCATTTATCTTTTACTCTGTCCTCTGTGTTGTAGAAAACTAGAAGTTGGTTCCAAAGACCCAATTATAAACAGTTTGTATATTTCTGTCTGGACTAACTTGATAGGTGGCACTGTTTATTTTCTATCAGGAGGTACCTATGGTGTCCCCACTACTAGTGCTTCTAAGTTTGATCACTTGATTAAGATGGTGATTAGCTGTCTAGAAGGATCTCCAAGATACAGTGCTGAATAAAAATTAAAAAAATAAAACACACACACCACACACACAAAGATGGTGATGGTTGGTCTCCCAGAGTTAAAGTCCATGTTTACCTCTAACAAGTAGAACTAAATTGTTGGGAATGATTTTTTTGTTTGTTTTTTTGGGGGGGGGGCTCATGTGAATATCCTTTCATCTAATGCTGTTAACATCCACGATGTGCCTTATCTGAATCATTTGTTCCACTGAAGGTTGCAAATTAGTCATTTTAAATTTTTATCATTCCTTTTACACTTATTAAATGTATTAAACATATATTAAATATAACTAATATTTCTCTGTAAAGAAGGGCCTTCCCTCATCAATAAGGGATAATTTAGATTCTCTTATAGTTCATATCAGTACAACATGTTTCCTATCAATTTTCTAAAATATCAGCCTTAGATTATGGAACTGAGCTGTTGATCAGTCATAACTTATATTTGATATAAACTTTTTAGGGCATTTTGATGTACATTGAGATTGGAAGTAGAGAATAGATGAAATTTAAAGCAGTGTTTCAAAATGGTGAGCAAATATTATACGAGGTGTGGCAGGAGGAATTTCAAGAAGTCAAGGTCAATATCAGCAAATGTTTATTGATCTAAAATGAAATTATTAATACCAGGCATTAAAAGAGCTTACCATATCCCAAAAAGCTAATGGTATGCATGGTCAATGTAGATACATATTTAGGCCTGACAAGAAGTAAATTAAGACAAATAGTTTGGACTGTCACCTGTTGCTCCAGCTTTTGCGGTCTCCACTCCACATACCTGCACGCAAGGCCCTTTGTGTTCTGGGCCCAGGTTCTTGTCTGACACTCCCGCACCATTACTCTTCATCTGGTTATTTGCATCATCCCTCAACTGCACATGGTTTTTCCTGCCTTCATGCCTTTGTCCAGGCCCTTCCCTTGGCCCAAAACACTTCCTTCTTGACTCTTAGGTCCCATTGGGCCCATTTCTCAAGCCCAGCTAAAATCCCACTCCCCTCCCTCTGTCAAGCTCCTTCCTCCCTGACCTCTCCAAATCACTTGCATTTCTTACACTCTGTCACATCTGTGGTCTCTGACTCAGTTTCTGTTTGGTCCTCTCATTGGCTTCTGTAAGTAAATCTCATATTCAAGCTATTGAATATGACTACCCATGATCCCAAATTAGAAAGCTCTTTTCACATGGCATTGCTGGGTTTTTGCATTCCCTTTGAGAGTCTCTCTGAAAGTTACCAACAGATGTGAAACTATTATCAGACAGGTTATCTCCCTTGTATGGCTTTCTTTGCCTTCTAATATCGATCACTTTACAAAATCAGGTTTTTGTGTAAGAGTTAAGGCTAGAATTGAGGTGTACTCATCACCCGTTCTTTGGAAATAAAGTCAAGGCCTAATCATTTCAAAATGATCAAAAGAAAGGAAAAAGAAAAAGATGGGCATAAATTAACATTGTATTGAAATATTACAACGAAACAAAGCTTATTTTGTTTTCCTTAAGTTGAACCTTTTTGTTCCTTTTGTAACCAACTTGAGCACTGCTTTAAATGGAAATAAAACAATGGTATTTTGTGCTTCTTGAAGATTTTTTAAAAATATTTTCATCCCATTCAACAAGACATTGTTTGAAATACCTTTTCTCTGTGTCTCCTTAATAAGAGCACTTTGTCTTTATGCAGTTCTTTCCATCTGAGGACCTTCACCACGTTGGCTGAGTATTTTTCATTACCAGATGGTGATGATAAAAGCTATCATGCCTCTTGTTTTCTGTCTGTGCAGAAGCAGGAGGTAAAAAGCTACGGAGCACTGTCCAGAGAAGCACGGAAACGGGCCTGGCTGTGGAAATGAGGAACTGGATGACTCGCCAGGCGAGCCGAGAATCTACTGACGGCAGCATGAACAGCTACAGCTCAGAAGGAAAGTGAGTGAGGCCAGCCATGATGTGTCTCTTCTGTGCCTTGCCGGGACCATCTCCTCTCTCTTTGTGCTTTCTCGGAAGCTAACTCACACTCTTGAGGGCGCCATTTTCATTTCCACTGGCTGATTTGCTGTGAAGAGAACTTTTGCTCGCCTACCACCGAGAAATGTGGCATATCTGGCCTTTTATATCAAGGGAAATAGGTTTGGTGATAAAGTGTTTTGCTTTAATAGCAAGACGCTAAAATGTGACCGTCACAATACATGCACATAAAAGTTTGCCCTGGCTTGAAATAACATATAGAAACACAGAAAGAATAAGCACTCATGCCACACCATGTGAACAATGCTAATTTCCATAATCTTTGCTCTTAAGAGTTACTACCAAAAATTGTAGAATACTTGACTCATACTTCGTTCCAAGAAGTAACAGGCAGTTCACATGGATGGAATGCCACAAAGTAAGTTGGTGAGCCTTTCCTTCATGTAGTTAGCATGTAGCTTTTTCTTGAATCAGCTGTAGCTAAGATATTTTTAAAGCATCTGTCAAGATTGTGTAGCCCTGTCACCAACAAACTGACAATAATCAGCAACCACAGATCCATAGATGGGTGCATAAAGGAGGTTAATAGAGGAAAGTGGGGTTTACTGACCTCACTCTGTCATCAGCATGGAAGCATCAGATGTTTGGACAATATACATGTTGCAAGACATGAGGCAGAGTATTGATTATGTGCCACAGGGAACATTTGTCTAGCATGAGTATGTAAATACAGAAGATGTACATGGTTTCCATACATTTATCAATAAGGTTATATGGGATACTAATTAAAATACTTGGATTAACTGTATATTTGGGGATTTAGGTTGGGGGAACAAACAGATTTGATGTTAATCAAGGAAGTCTTAAAAGAGATGGAAGCAATTGAAAAATGAATGTGCACTGAGCTTTCAGCATTGCAAAGTGCTATGTTAGATACTGTTAGGGATACAAAAATGTCCCAACTGTGCCCCCGGCACCCCAGATGTTTGTATTTTATGGGAAAAATGGGTTGAATACTCGTAAATTCATTCAACAAGTATTTCCACACCTTCCAGTGTTCTAGGCACTGTGCTAAGTTGGGGATATAAGTCGTACAAGGCGACCAAAATCAGTTAGTGGTTAAGACCATGGGCCTTAAGCTCACATAGGCTTAAGTTCTCATCTGTTTTTCAGTACTGTAGAAACTTGGGCAAATTATTTAACTTTTCTCAGTGTCATTTTAATTAACTGATTTTGCTTGACAAGTATTTATTAAGTGCTTAGGTATTCCAGGCATGGTTCTAGGGGCTGGAGATATATCAGTGAACAAAATAGAAACAAAAAACCAAAAAACCCTACCCTCACCAAACTTCCAGTCTAATAGATAAGGTGGACAATAAATAAGAAAAGTTGATAATATGTATATATAAGGAAAATTCATAAAATAGTAGATTAGGTCCCATAAGTGCTAAAGAGAAAAAGAAAGAAAGGGAGAGAGATGAAAGAGAGTAAGTGTGGGTTTCATGTAGGGTAGACAGGGAAAAAGATGTATTTGGGTAAAGATTTTAAGAATGTGGACATTCGAGGGAAGAACATTCCAGGATGAAGCTGTGCTGAGACCTGGAGGCAGCAGTTTGCCTGGCATCAACACTGGGGAGGGTAGCACTGTGCAAGAAGGGCAAGAGTAGGAATTAAGATGGGGGCAGGGGTGGACAGCTCGTATCATCTTTAAAATAGCATTGTGAGGACTTTGCTTTTCCTCTGAGAGGGGCCAGAAACCAATGGAGGGTTTGAGCAGAGTCCTGATATTACCTGACTTGAATTTTAACAGGCCATTCTGATTGCTGTGGGGGTGGAAAGTAAATTTGGCCACCGAGGGATCATTCAGAGGGCTGTTCAGTAATACCGCAGATAGAAGATAAAGGCTCGAACCACAGTGGTAGCATTAGCCAGGTCAGATTCTGGATGCATTTGACAGTAGAGCTGATAAGATTTCTTGATACATCTGATATGAGTAATGAGAGAAAGGGGGTGTATTCATTTGCTAGGGCTGCCCTAACAAAATACTGAAGATTGGGTAGCTTAAACAACAGAAATTTATTCTCTCATAGTTCTGGAGGCTAGAAGTCCAAGATCAAGGTGTTATCAGGTTTGGTTTCTCCTGAGGCCTCTCTCCTTGGCTTGCAGATGGCCTCCTCTTCAGTGTGTGCTCACATGGTATTTCTTCTGTGCATGCATACCCCTGATGTCTTTTATTCTTCTTATAAGGATACTGGTCACATTAGATTAGGGTCCCACCCTCTGACCTCATTTGACCATAATTACCTCTTTGAAGGCCCTATCTCCATGTACAGTCATCCTGGGGGTTAAGGCTTCAACATATGCATTGGGGGGGGGGGACAGGGGTCAGTCTGTAACAAAGAGGAAAGGCCACCCCAAGGCTGGACAATTGAAAGAATGAAGTTGCCATTTAAGATGAGAATCCCCTGAGAGGAACAGACTTTGGCTTTTTATTTGTTTCGAGGTTGGGAGTCAGTTTGGGACAAAATGAGTATCAGTTGCCTATTAGACATCCAAGCAGACATGTAGACAAAGCAGATTGAATACAGGTCTGTGGTCCAAGCTGGAGATGGCAAACTAGGCCAAATCAACAAAGATGTCATTTAAAACCGTGAAACTGCATGAGATTACCAAGGAGTTTGGGGCATGCAGAAAAAATAAGAAGTCAAAGGATCGAGCTCCCAATATTTAGTGGTAGAACCAGTGACGGAGACTGAGGTAGAGCGTCCAAAGAGGAGAAAATCCGGGAACCAGAGGGTCTGGGAAGCAAAGTGGACAAAGTGTTTCAAGGAAGAGGGAGGGCTCAATTGTGTCAGCTGATGTTAATGTGTTAAATCAGACAAGTGCTGAGTATGAGCAGTTGGGTTTCCCATGTGGCCCTCGGGTAACCTTGGTCAGAGAAATTTGGGTAGAATGGAGAAAAATCAAGCAAGCAAGGGAGCAAGGAAAAACTGAATAGCGTTTCAAGGGAGAACAAGAAAAAAGAAATTGAAGACAGCCTGTAGAGTAAACTCTCTCAAGGAGCATTGAGTAGAGAAATGGGGTGGGAGCTGGAGAAGGAAGTGGCGTTAGGAAAGGGATTTTTTTAAGGTAGAAGTTTTGTGGTTTTTTTTAAGGTGGAAGAATAACAGTATGTTTGTGTACTGATGGAAATGATCTAGAAGAGTTTCTTCATCTATAAAACAAGGATAATAGAATCTATCTCCTAGTGCCGCTAAAAGGATTAAATCCAATGATGCCTGTTGTGAAGTGCTCAGTAGGTACCAAGTGCTACTGATAGAAATCACAGCCCATGCCCTCCAGACAAGGAGGAGAAAGACACAGACCTAGCAGCCTACAATACTGTGTGACAGGTGCTTCTGGTGACATACATGGGCTGCTAGAGAATAAGAAAGGATGAGCCATAGGAGGTGGAGCGGGGTGCTGGGATCCAGTTAATATAAGTGGCAAAATCACGGTAGTACCCGATAGGGGCAAGAGGGAAACCCGAACTGCCTGAAAGTAAATAGGTTGAGGGTTTAATCCCATGTGTTATTTTGCTTTTAGTCTGATTTTCCCTGGTGTCCGCCTGGCCTCTGATAGCCAGTTCAGCGATTTCCTGGATGGCCTTGGCCCTGCCCAGCTCGTGGGGCGCCAGACTCTGGCTACACCTGCAATGGGTAAGAATTTCTGTCATGTGATTTCACTGTTTCTCCTTTAGATTATCGAAAATTACATTCTCTAGTTTCATGGGATCTTTAACAGTATCGTCAGCAGGAATAAGTATTTTTATTTTACCAATAAAAAAATTTTAACTGATTTTTCCAGGTTAATTGATATGCTTTTTAAAGTAAGAGATCATTGATAGAATTTTAAATATATTTGAATGTAGGAAAATATATGGGAAATGATGAAATGATATAAAACCAGGGTCTTTGGCACAAGCCTGTTTCTTACTGTGTTTGTACACTAAGGCCTGTCTCTTTCTTCCTCACACATCGTTAGGTGACATTCAGGTAGGAATGATGGACAAAAAGGGACAGTTGGAGGTGGAAATCATTCGGGCTCGTGGCCTTGTCGTAAAACCAGGTTCCAAGACACTGCCAGGTAAGAACAGAAGAGATTCTTCTATTTTCTGCAATGCCTATTTTTCAATTCAGATATTTTGTTTTTGATTAAATGCCAAAAACTTTGTTTTTAGATAGATGCGTGAGTCTGTAATCTGTAGTAGTTTGTGTGGTTATCCTAAGTGAGCATGCAGTGAGGGTGGTCTGGTAGGGATAATTTAAGTTATATAATTTAAGTTAACCTTATTAAGTACGTATGTAGTAGAAACCATTGCAAAATAAACAGGTACGTAAGAGTTTCTTTTTCTTATTAGCTGATATTTTGTGTTCTTCACTTTATCTGGAGCTTCGAAATTCTCCTTGGGAATTCTTAAAGCTCTGCATTAGAATAAAAATAGATACAGGTTTCCAAAGCAGCATAAGCCTTTGTATACAGGACATTCTAATTAGACTAACTTTTACTTCCTGCAGTGTTCAAAGAAAGAGAAGCACCATGAGCAATTTGTATTGCGGTGTCACATATTTCATACTGAAATGTCATGATCTAAGGTGCCTGGAGCCACAGAAAATGACACAGGGTCCAGATACCGTATGCAGAGACGTATAGAACATGAGATCGGATATGTGGAACAGTTAGTGAGGATTCTGAAATTTGGGTTCTCACCTTGGCACCTCCACTGACTGAAGTGTAATTTTGAATTTCGTAACTTCCTTGTCCTTGCAGAAATTCTAAATGATAATGTGTACAACCTTGCAGGGTGATTAAGTCAATTGTGTTTACAAAGGTCTTGGAGCTAGTTACCCCACCGTGCTATAGAGAATACCATAATTTTGGGCGCCTGGGTGGCTCAGTCGTTAAGCGTCTGCCTTCGGCTCAGGTCATGATCCCAGGGTCCCGCGATCGAGTCCCACGTCGGGCTCCCTGCTCGGCAGGAAGCCTGCTTCTCCCTCTCCCACTCCCCCTGCTTGTGTTCCTGCTCTCGCTATCTCTCTCTCTGTCAAATAAATAAATAAAATCTTAAAAAAAAAAAAAGAATACCATAACTCGCACATGCATGAAAATGCTTTTATGAAGAGTCAGATACATTTCAAGCCATGCAATTCATAATTAGTTGCCTCTTCCCAGCTTATGTGAACATATTACATCAAACCCCACCCTTGCCTTGTAACCATGATGCCATCAATAAATAAACCCTTTTGAGTAATAAATAAATGATTGTTATTTATAAAAATGTATACTATATTATTTATATTACATAATCATATTACATAAGTACTTATAGAAATTGTATTGTTCATATTCTAATTTATTTATGAAAAGATATTGTCGCAAGCACGTTTACTTAGATTTAAGTACTGACAAATGAAAGACTGAGTAAGACCTCTCTCGAATATTATTAGGGACTGGAAGTATTTCACTTTATTTAATGCTGTATTTAAATCCATATAACCATTTGATGGTGAAGTAGTAATCAACTCAGAGTAGCCTCTGAGTTAATATTGCCAAAACTACCTCAATGGCTGATAGGTACCTATTATTTATCTAATGATTTTGACATCATGTGGAAAGATGAATGACTTTTTTTTTTTTAAGATTTTATTTATTTATTTGAGAGAGAATGAGAGAGAGCACATGAGAGGGGGGAGGGTCAGAGGGAGAAGCAGACTCCCCGCCGAGCAGGGAGCCCGATGCGGGACTCGATCCAGGGACTCCAGGATCATGACCTGAGCCGAAGGCAGTTGCTTAACCAACTGAGCCACCCAGGCGCCCAAGATGAATGACTTTTGATTGCTAGCTTTTTTGGCCTAAAACTAAGCTGTTGCAGATTTCACCTGTGAGTTGGGTATTCCATAACCATGGCTCGTCACTTAACCCTCCCCTCTGTGTGTTCTTTCCCAAGCACCATATGTAAAGGTGTATCTGTTGGATAATGGAGTCTGCATAGCCAAAAAGAAAACAAAAGTGGCAAGAAAAACACTGGAACCCCTTTACCAACAGCTATTATCTTTCGAAGAAAGTCCCCAAGGGAAGGTTTTACAGGTATTTACTGAATGGTTTCTCCCTTACATAAGAAAGTATTTTCGTGGACTCAGACCTTGGACCCACATGTCTTACCGCATTCTCTTCCGTTGCTCACAGCTGAAATTCTTGGGAAACGTCAAAGCAGTGGCCAATGCTACCAAGCCACGGACACTGTTGTTTCCTTTCCAGTGAACTAGAGACTTGCCAACCCCCATCACACACAGACTCCAGTCTCCGGGGACTGCTTAGGATCTTAGCACTCCAGTACACTTTTCCTCATGCGTCTTTGGATTCTAGTAGATAAAGACCACTATCCCAGCAATTAAAACACAACTATTTAACTTGATGTTTGATGATAGCACATTAACCGAATGTATTTTAGTTTGCAAGTTTCCATATACATAACTATACTGACCTCCGTCTCCTTTTATTGTGCCAACAGATCATTGTCTGGGGAGATTATGGCCGCATGGATCACAAATCCTTTATGGGAGTGGCCCAGATACTTTTAGACGAACTGGAGCTGTCCAATATGGTGATTGGATGGTTCAAACTTTTCCCCCCTTCCTCCCTAGTAGATCCAACCTTGGCCCCTCTGACAAGAAGAGCTTCCCAATCCTCTCTGGAAAGTTCCACCGGACCTTCTTACTCTCGTTCATAGCTGCTGTAAAACTGTTGTCATAGCAACCAGCGTTACAAAAAAAAAAAAAAAAAATCCACAGGTCGCAAACCCTGGTAACACTGCATGCTTAATGTTGTGTCTTCTGAGCCTGTTTCTAGGGATACAAAGCGATCCTGTGTTCTCAGAGGAAGTTGCACACATTGTGCCCTAATGATGGCCCTCAGGTGAAAGAGCAGAGTTATGAAGAACTATCAGGTTTGGAGTTCAATAGCACTCGAGTTTTGGTCCAATCTGAAGCCATGGATTAATCTCAAAGAATCAGTCAGTTTCATGCAACAAAAGCCCTTTTCAATGGCACCTTTCTATTTTTATCGTTCCTTTTTCTTCATTTCTCTGACCCCAAAGCCCTGTTATGCCACAGAAAGGAGCTATACAGTCATTAAGCCATGTTACGAGTCAAGGAGTGAAGTCCTAGGAAGCATCAGGTGAAAAGCAGGAGACCAAAGAAGTGGTCCGGGACAGATGTCAGCCCTCCTCTGCACAGTGACCAGGAGCAGCCTGTCCAGTGTGAGCAGTGGCAGACTTCAGAGCTCCAGCAGGCACACCATTCACTAAGGCCACGATGTGTCGGACTCTGAAAAACAAAATTCTGTGGCTACACTGTACTGAATGAAATTAAAGAAACTTTTTTTTGCATGGACACAGATTAGCTGAATACTTAAATTATTTTCTTGGGGCTGCAACTTGCAAAAAAAAAAAGAATAAAATCAGCCATTTTCAACAATTTATATTATTTTTAAAAATAAATTTCACTATTGCATGGTTTTAAAAGGGGGAGAGAATGCAACAGGGTGGTACAAAGACACACCATGTTTATTCTTTAATCATAGTCTGTGTTTTGGCAGACATTACAAATGAGAATACTTTCTAGAAGATACTTAAAATTCTCTTTATGTGACAAATAAGCATACTATATTCAATTTATTTCCATGTTAAATATACAAATCTTATGAAGTTCAATATGTGTAAATTGTTCACATCTTTCTTCCTCTTCTCTGTCTCACTTTTCCTGTTTTGTCTTTTAATCTTTTATTTTCTTTCTCCCTACCAGAGTGAACATTATACTAAAAGATTACAAGTTTTTGACCTGATACTCCTTATACCCCATGTTGATTCAGAGCTGTAGATGCTTCTGAATTTATGAATTTCTCAAGGGGGAAAAAAAACTAAGCTTTCTCTATTTCAAGCATGTTGAAAAGGATTTTGCAACATGACTTGGGAGTACATTAAAGTAAGTCAGCACGTATTTGATAAAGAAGATATTTGAACTTTTGCAATTTATTGTTCAGTGCATGGTACTTTTCTTTTCACCTTCAAAGTTCAGTTTACAGGAAAATCCTAAAATCATGTGGTCATTGTAATGTCTAATAAATTTGTTTTTAGCACCAGCATTATTCATACAGGGGTTAAAGTATTATTTCTAGAAGGTCTTAGGTTTTGTTTTTTAATTAATTATAGCAATTTCGTTAGCCAATTTCCATTTACTATGTGAATAGAAAAACACTGCTAAAAATTTGGAGCCTGAAACACAGGGCTGCTTATTAATTCACTTTTCTGTAGTAAAATACAATTTTTCACAAATTATATTTCTAAAGAAATATAGTAAACATAAATATGCAACAAATAATTTTAAAGCTCCAATTTTTAGGTGACTCAAAGAAAGTCAACCTGCCTATTAATAGTTCTTTGATGCCATCACCCAAAAGTCTACACCCCAAATCCCCAAAGGTCAAACCCCTGCCTTTGGTTTTACAGATAGTTATACCATTGGGTGGTGCTGCAAGGTCAAGTTTCTCTTAAGTTCCCCTGTTAAGAGGAAAAGTCACTGGTTAATGTAATAAAGCCACCCATACTTTCTGTTTCTTTATGTACACTTTGATAACGCATTTTTACAGGTTGATTTTAATGCAGCAACTTTTGAAATCCACATTAAGGCCATGCACAAAAATTGCTCTCTTCTTTCTTCTTTTTTTTTTTTTTCCTTTTTAAATTCCATGCTGACCATTAAAAACTATCATGCTTGATATGGTGCAAAAGTTAAAAGGAGTATCACTAAAAATGCCTTCTCTTTATGTGGTGCAATATGAAATACACTGAGACTGTGTCTTGACCTTCTGAGATCTACGATGGGCCCAGGTAAAGTTGTCCAAAGAACGAATAAAACTTTATGGAAATAATTTAGACACTTGTGTACCAGCAACAGCTGATTTAATAGACCTATAGTGTCTATACTCTCCCTTAGAATAAATGTTTACCATTTTCCTGATACTAAGATGCAGTCACATACTCTTTTGTGCATATTCCTATATAAATTATTTCTAATTTTAATAAGAGGGACATGACTGTATGGAATATTTGTACATACTTGTCATTATGCAGTATTTATTTTAAAAGTTGGTGGGTTTTTTTTTTTTTAATTTTCACATGTCTGCACCTCGACTTGTGGTTTAGTCGTGTAAATAGCACTATTCCAGTGACCATTGCTGCTCTGGACCATTGCTGTACATAGTATGTTTTAAAAGTAAAGGGAATTCCGGTTGGTAAAAAAAAAAAGGGCAGATTAGTCCTGTAATGAACACCAACTAATGTAAATCAAATTCATTCTGGTGATGGTATTTAACACTTTAAATAAAACATTTTCTTTACAGACGTTGTATGCACGGCTTCCTCTGACTTCTCTTCTCCCCATCCCCAAGCCTCCTGCAGCTTTCCCTGAGCTCACGCATCGTTTCAAAACAGTGAAATAATCATCTTTTCTTACTTCTCTGTGACAGAAGCAGCCTGCTGGTCTTAGCAAATAGGCCTCAGTAGAGAGTGTTTTCAAAGTGCCAAAGGATCTCTGCTCACATCATTAAAAGTTGCTGCTTTTCAAAAAGGTGGTGATTCTGTGCGGGGTGGGGGCAGATTGGTGTTCTGGATTGAGGTGCTTTCTGTTAAGTGACTCAGCAGCTCACATAGTCTCTGAGCGAACTGAGTGAGATTTCTGAGTCAGTGTCACCTCCATGGATAGCAGAGTCCCAGAGAACCCCACGCAGACTCTGCCATTTCCTGGGTGAAGTGGGTTTTATGCTGCCGTGTCAGTTCAGCTTTGTTGGGGTGCAGAGGGTGCCTTTGCAGCTGGGGAGACACTTGTGCTAACGTGATGGGTAACAACCTGTCCAAAGACTGGCTTCCCTCCTGGGGCTCTGGGTGGGAGGGTTTCTCCATCTCTTGCTAGGGCAGTTCCTCAAACTGGAAAAAAAAAAAACCCAGCAAAGTTCTGATGGAAGTCCTCCCTTCTCTAAATTTGAAAGGGAGCTTAGTTATTACAAATCCAAACCTCGTCTTCTCTCCATTCTTGGAAACCGCCATTTCTTCCATTTCCAAGGACTCCATTTTGGCTCCGTCCTCCATGCCTATCCCAGATTACTTTTCATTATTCAATATACACCTCCTTCTCCAATGAACTGTTTCTTTGCTGTTCACACACTCCTGTTATAACCATGCCCTTGCCTTTCTTATATGCCTTCTCCCGAAAAGCCCTTCTACTTCCTCAGAAATGATCCACGCTGGTCCCTCCCTGCAACTCCCTGCTCAGGATGGAGCTCTTGAGCAGTTCCTGACTGAACCTGAACAACAGGACTGCTGTTGAGGCCAACACCTTCAATTTCCCAGGAACTCCTGATTGAGGTGCCACACGCAGCAGTAAAGGACATGGGGGTCACTCTTGTAGGGGCTGACAGAGGAATGGTTGAAAAGTCACCAAAGCTGCCTGCCCGTACTGACTTACTCCCAAAAGTGTAAGTGACTGACTTCTACATCACAAACCAGTTTGGGTTGTTTTTCTTTTAAATTATACGCTACTGACTGGTTCCTGACTCTGCCAGTTATTTACTATTCCCCTTTGACAATGTCATTTATTTTTGTTTTGTTTTGTTTTTAAAGATTTTTATTTATTTATTTGACAGAGAGAGAGCACAAGTAGGCAGAGCGGCAGGCAGAGGGAGAGGGAGAAGCAGGCTCTCCGCTGAGCAGGAAGCCCGATGTGGGGCTCGATCCCAGGACCCTGGGATCATGACCTGAGCTGAAGGTAGCCGCTTAACCGACTGAGCCACCCAAATGCCCGGACAATGTCATTTATATTCTCTGAGTCTCAGTAGCCACCACTGCAAGATGGGAAAAGTAAAGCTACTCAGTACATTGGGTTTTCATAGGGATTAAATAAAATACTGTGTATAGAACGCACAGCACCAGGAGTGGTATAAAGTCAGTGCTAACTATTACAAGCATAAATAATTGATTGGAAGGTCTTAAAAACCATTTCGTTCTTTGCTGGTCTGTCTCATCGAAGGTACAAGTCCTCCTAAGGAGACACATTATTTTCTCTGGATCCTCCGGGCCAAGCTGGATTGGAAGGTAGCCCCACTGAGCTCCCTGCAGACCATGTCTGATCTTCCCTAAAGAAGAATGTGCCCCCAGTGGGTTCAGTCATCTATCATCAGGGCTGCATAAAAGAAAGACCCCAGCAAGAAATCTCAGCAAAGCAGCTCAGGGCCTCCTCAGAAGGGAGCAGCTAACAGACAGAGTTGGGCAGTCATCCAAATGATAGGACCTTAACAATACCCTGGGAGAGTTCACAGCACATGGGCTGGCTCTCTGTCCTGGAAAGTCAGTGATGGGAGAGCAAGTCCCAGCTCTTGGAAGATAACATGACACGGGAGCAGGGTGACCTCAGAATCCTCATAGACGGATCCCTGAGTTCCTTATCATACACCTTCTCTGATTGTTTCCTGGGCAAGAAATAGGTCAGGCTCTTCTCTGCTTCTCACCTCTGGAGTCTGGGCTCCCTTCCTGTCATAGGTCTGGCTGGTGGGCTGCTGGGGACAACAGACTTTTTGGGTGCTCAGCCAAAGACAATGAGCACCCCTACAGACTACATAGGGGCCCTGGTGATATACTGGGGTACCCAAACCCTGACCCTAATGACTTGGGCCCGATCTGGGAGTGATGAACAGCATGGCAGCAAGACAAAACTAAGCCTTTCTTAGCAAATTTCAAGCTCTTGCTGGAGAAATTTTGGAAATTGTGAGAAAATGTATGTGTTGCCTACTTCATTCTTGACTTATTATAGCCAAGAACTTTGTGTGCTGACAGACAAAAAAAAAAAAAAAAAAACAGTGCTTTGGTGGTAAGGGGGAATAGGATCGGGGATTGACTCATCCTGAATATTCTGAGATCTGACAAGTGCTGAGCTCTCAAAGTTGACAATCTAGCCAACATTTAGGTACCAACTTGGTGCCTGCCTGAATACTTAGAGAAAAAATCCCAAACTCACAAAATCAAAAATCTAATTCTTCAGCCTTCTCAGAAGAAGTGATAAGGTATAACGGAGTCTCAGGTCTTAAAATTATCTAAGAGACAGGCTCTTCAAATATCCAGGAATCATTTCTCTTCCAAATGGAAGGGTCCTCGATCTACAGATACTAATAGGCACATCTTTTCTGTCTTCTATCTTTTCTATTGTCATAATAAATCTCATTTCGGTTCTCAGGTGTAAATACTGGGACTCTTCATTCAAAGTTGAACCTCAAACCCTATCACTCATTTTTTTGTGGTACCAAAGAGGAAATGGGGGTGTGGGAGGAGAAAGAGGGAATGAAG